ATAAAGTCATAATATTACGAGTATAAAGTCATAATATTACGAGTTTAAAGTCATAATATTATGAGAATAAAGTCATAATATTACGAGTTTAAAGTCATAATATTACGAGAATAATTTGTAATATTACGAGATTTAAGTCGTAATATGAGTTTAAAGTCATAATTACGAGAAAAAAAGTCATAATATTGTAGCCTTTACATGAAAAAGAATGCAGTTATCTCTGCATTAAAATGAGGAATGTTGAGCAACTTGTCAAGTTGTTCTTTAGTATTGCTTARATAAATAGTTAAWCTTTYAGCACATTAGCATCAAATTATCAGTAGCARGACTTGGAAATTGTGCAAAYGACTATAAACTGAAGCCRTWTTGTAATTAATTGACAGATTTAGTCATCACGTAGCTAATTTGGATGAAAGCATATTAATCTAACAGTGATCCAAGTCATCACGGACTACTTTATAAATACAGACACATGGCTGTGCACAGCAGGTGTGAGGAAAATAAGAAGGAAATGAGGAACGGGAAATTATGACTTTAATCTGTAATATTACAACTTTAATAATAAATAATAATAATAAAAACAATCTTGTTGTGTGGCCCTAATACTCCATTGTACAGCAGCGCACACAGCTGAGACGCTGTATCAAATGACGCCTGCATTCATTCCCCAAACTGCTTTTGTAGAAGAGCTATTGTCACACTGCTGTGAACAGACTTGAACATATAAAGACGGATTGTTGTAGATGTAACATCGGACGGGTGAGAAGTCTTCATCACTGCTTTACCTTTCGGCCTGTGCGCTGCACCAAGGACTTCGCTATGGAGTGGAAGTTAGATTTACTGCCAAAAAGGCCGTGCAGGAACACCAGGGGAGTGCTCTCTCCTTTCCCGTCGAAGACGTCGTAAGTCAGGTTCACAGGACTGGAGAGAGAAAAAAAAGAGAGACGTTGATTCATAATACTCCCTCGATAGCAGTAGTGAGAAGCCATGAAATAAAACACAAACTGATGAGACTCTCAGGGAACAGAAATACTTCAATTTAAAGTGAAGATGAATTACGAGAATGTCTTGTTTTTTTTTTTTTACTAACAGATGTATTTATTTATTTATTTATACAAATATGTATTTCACAAAGAAAACATATTTTTCAAAATTGAATATTTGCTTCCACCTGCTGGTGGAGCACAGGTCTTGTAARAAGATAAGCATTTATTTGGTGGAGTGATAATCAAATATGTTAATGTTAACTCTTTTACACATATTTTGCAGATATTTGTGTGGATTTCCCTATTTAACTATCACACCTGAGCCACAGTTTGCCTCCAGCATATTTTTACTATGCAAGTCTCATTTTCCTTAATTAATAAAGATCAAATATGTACACAGATTTGTATATAAAAATATAACATATCAATTATTTTAATGTCAGTGTTAGTTGAAACATTTGTCAGATCAGATGTGATTAAATCAGATGAGGTTTCAGTTTCTTTTCAGTCACTCTTCTATCTTTCCTTAAAATGTATTTGGTGTTTAAAATGTAAATAATAGAGAACATTACACATCTAATATTCAGTACATCCTGTCTGATGAATGCTCAGGTTATAACAAAGATGATCATGTTTAACTGGTTATTCATCAAAAATGTCAAGTGAATAACATTCAACCTTTGGTTTAAAATTGTTTTTAAATTGTTAGATGCCCATAAACAAAAAAGACAATAAAGTTGAATAGATAAATATATGATAATAGTAAATTGTTACATTAAAACGTCACTATGGTCTGATAAGCTAAGCTGATTACATTTCACAAGGCCACACGTCTCAAAAATCCCACAAATAACAGATTTTAAAACAAGATTACACATTTTTTGATTCTCTGCATGATAAAAACTCAGATACATAACACAGTTCAGCACATTAAAAATAAATTTTCCCTTCATCGAGCAGTAAAATATTTGACATCTGCGTGAATGTAGCTAAGATGCTAACTTGATGTAGGTTAACACAAAACATCTAAATTACTACAAAATAAAAAAATATATTTTGCTTCGTAGTTAAATAATATGAAACAAGTCATGTTTTCAGATGTAACCTTTACTTTAGAAGTGCAGCGGTCAGATTCAGATTAAATGTTTGCCACGCAGAGGTCTGAATGTCATTTATGTAAAGTTATCGGTAAACAACAATGATGCTAGCTGCAGCGRGTAAATAAGCCAGGCTTAGCATTAAAAACACCGGGGTGTCATTTCCATTCAGTATTATTAATTCACATACAKCTCAGGCTGATAGAGGTGCACCTGTTAGCCAAAAAAAAAGCTACAAGGATACCTGGAGGAGCTGGCCGTCCGAACCGGGAGAGCCACCCCACCGCACACATCCAGCTGTCCGGGGAGAAAACAGCACGRCGGCCGACCGCTCAGCAGTCCCGTCCGAAGCAGGCGACACAAAGCGCTCATGGTAGCATATGTTCCGTTACCGACAGGTCCACGAACACCATGTGGGTTTCACAGCGACTTCAATGACAGCGAGCACACTCAGAGAGTGCATCAGACAGAAGAGTAGCCGGAGGTCGAAACCTGAGAGCCTCCGTCTGTCAACAGCTGACGGTGCGTCATGACGTAAAGACGTACTGGCGTAATTTCCCCTGAATTCAGTCTGTCAGGCTCAGTGTTTAGGCTATACAATATTTCCCAAGCTTCTTTGATTTTGCACCACAAAAACCAGTCTCAGAGACACACACACACACACACACACACACACACACACACA